TCACATTTGGATAGAAACTGTTTCTCAGGTGGCTAGTCCTAGTCTTTATAACCCTGTACCTTCTTCCAGAAGGCAGAAGCTGAAAGAGATCGTTTCCGGGGTGCGCACTATCCTGCACTATCTCTGCAGCTTTTTTATGTAGCACCAACTGCAAGTGCCTGCAGGGCCATGAGTAGTATGCATGAAAACATCAATGCTAAATTGAGCAGATACCCTGAGGCAGAGCGGATTATTGTGGGGGACTTCACTCACACAGATGTGAGGGCGGTACTCCCAAAATCCCATCAGCACATTGAGTGTGCAATAAGGGGAGAAAATACTCTTGACAAGGTATATACGAACATCAGCCGGGAATATGAGGCGCACCTCGGTGGTTCAGATCATGTGACCCTGCTTCTGACACCAGTGTACACACCCCTCAGGAAACAAGGCCAGCTATAAACACGGATGGTTACTCTGTGGCCTGAGGGAGCCTCTCAGCAGTTGCAGGACTGTTTCCAGGAGACCGATTGGAATATGTTCGACCATCAAGATCTAGAAACTTCTACATCAACGGTCCTGGATTATATTAGATTCGGCACAGGAAATGCACAGGGAAAGGTATGTTAAGTTGTATCCGAATAGGAAGCCCTGGATGACAGGAGAGGTTAGGAGATTCTTGAATGCCAGAAACTGCTTTTAGAACTGGGGACCGGGTACCGTATGGCAGTGTTTCCCAACCGGTGTTCCGCGGCACACTAGTGTGCCGCGAGGCGTTGCCTGCTGTGCCGTGGGAGGGAGGCGGGCGAGTCGGGCGGCAAGAGGCTAGGAAGCAAATGGATTGCGAAGTCTGCCAGGTTCAGATTCGGGTCTCGGCTGTTTCCGGCAAGTGCAGATTCGGGTCTTGGCTGTTTTCGGCAAGTGCAGATTCCGGACTCGGCTGTTTCCGCCGGCCCAACTCGCCGATCCCGCGCCGTACGTAAGAATTCTCGAGGAAAGGCGCAGGCGCATTCCTCCTCGGAGGGAGCGGCCGTTGGCGTCCAAGATGGCGGCTGTGCTGGCTGAGGGGAGCGCGGGCGGCGCCGAGTCCGAGGCAGCGGCTGTTCCGCCCATGGCGGGGCTGGAGATGGTCCAGCAGGGAGCCGAAGCCCGGGTCTACCGGGGCCTCTTCCTAGGCCAGCCAACTGGCGAAGCACCGCTTCCCGAAACGTTACCGGCACCCGCTGTTGGAGGAGCGCCTGAGCCGCAGGCGGACGGCGCAGGAGGCCCGCTCGCTGCTTCGCTGCCGGCGGGCAGGTGGGCGCGCCTCGAGACTGGACTGCGCGGGGAAGGGGCGCGGGCTGGGATTCCATCTCCTTTAAATTGCATGGCCGGCCCACCTCTTTGCAAGGAGTGCGGTTGGGAATTGCAAGCAAAGCAGCCACACAGCTCGATTCCAGTCGTTAGTGACCGAAACTAATCCCCCCCCCCCCCCGCTATAGGCAAGGAAGCTGAAGACTGGTTATGGAAGGCGGTGGGCTAAGCCACAGGTGTTCTGGTTTGCGAACATTTTTCAGAAGCCAAACGTGCTCCATTTTGCGTGCCATGCTTCTGTTTTGCGGTCTGTCTGCTTTTGCTGTTTATTTTGCATTTTTGTCTTTCTGACTTTTTTGTTTTGTTTTTGTGACTGATTGATTGACTGATTGTGTGACTGCAGTACATTGTTTATTGCTTTCATTTTATGGATCAATGGTCTTTATCGATAGTAAAATTCATGTTAAATTGCTGTTTTAGGGGTTGTTTTTAAATGTCTGGAATGGATTAATCCATTTTGCATTACTTTCAGCCAAACAGGCCCAGGTTGCGCACTGAATAAAGTATTTTATAATTTTTCATATTTCTGTTTACTTACTATTTCATAATAAAGTAATTATAAAATACTATCTTTGTGTTTATTTGATTCCTATTAAAGAGAGTTACTTTATATATAGTCAATATAGGCACAGAGTTAATTTTTTAAACGTTTTCTAATGGTGGTGTGCCTCAAGATTTTTTTCATGAAACAAGTGTGCCTTTGCCCAAAAAAGGTTGGGAAACACTGCCGTATGGTATAGAAAGAGCGAACTTGAAGAGGGGTATCAGGAAAGCAAAAGTGGGTAAAGAACCATATCATATCTTGTCTGCCAGTAGGACTTGACCCTTACAAGTTTGCGTACAAGGCAAAGAGATGCATGGAGGATGCTGTGGCAATGGCTTTACATCCTGTCCTGACTCATTTGGAGAAGCAAGGGAACTACGTGAGATTATTATTTGTAGACTTCAGTTCTGCATTTAATACTATTCTTCCGCATAGATTGGTGCCCAAACTATTAGACCTGGGACTTCCACTGTGTTTGTGCAGGTGGATATTAAATTTTCTATCAAACCGTTCCCAACGGGTCAAGATGGGTTCCCGTGTCTCTGCGGATCTCATCATGAATATGGGGATGCCACAGGAGTGCATGTTGAGACCACTTTTATATACGCTCTATACAGCTGACTGTGCCCCCCCCCAAACTCCAGTAATAAGATCATTAAGTTTGCATATGATACATGGCCACTGGTCCCATCACCTGGTAAATAGAAAGGGAAGAAATGGAGGCAGTGAGAGATTTGACTTTCTTGGGCTCCACGATCACTGCAGATGGTGACGGCAGCCACGAAATTAAAAGACGCCTGTTTCTTGGGAGAAAAGCAATGACAAACCTAGACAGCATCTTAAAAAGCAGAGACATCACCTTGCCAACAAAGTTCTGTATAGTTCCCAGTAGTGATGTATGGAAGTGAGAGCTGGACCATAAAGGCTGATCGCCAAAGAATTGATGCTTTTGAATTCTGGTGCTGGAGGAGACACTTGAGAGTCCCATGGACTGCAAGAAGATCAAACGTATCCATTCTGAAGGAAATCAGCCCTGAGTGCTCACTGGAAGGACAGATCGTGAAGCTGAGGCTCCAAGACTTTGGCCACCTCATGAGAAGAGAAGACTCCCTGGAAAAAACCCTGATGTTGGGAAAGATGGAGGGCACAAGGAGAAGGGGACGACAGAGGAGATTGTTGGATAGTGTTCTCAAAGCTACCAGAATGAGTTTGACAAAACTGCGGGAGGCAGTGGAAGACAGAAGGACCTGGCATGCTCTGATCCAGGGGGTCACAAAGAGGCGGACACGACTAAACAACTAAACAATATGATACAGCGGTGGTTGGTTTAATCACGGCTGGAGAGGGGGAGGCGGCCTATAGGAAGGATGTTGAGCAGCTGGGGAAGTAGTGCAGGAAAAACAACTTACTCCTTAGCTTAAAGAAAACAAAAGAGATTATTGTGGGCTTTAGGAAATGTAAATTGAATATTCAGCCACTCATTATTGAGGGGAAGTGTGTGGAACGTAGCACTTGGAATTGCCTCCAAGGTCCAGGGACTGATCCACCCTGGCTTCCACCTCGGAAGGTCGAAAGTTCTTCTTTTGCCAATGAACTTTGCCTCTGCGTGATTTAAGGAGAACCAGATGCATCCACTCCAAAGACGGCAAGGGAAGAGCAGGAGGGGACAGAAAGAGCCCCAGGGAAAGATGAATTTGGGCTGAGCTGGTGTGGGAATGAGCGGCAGAGAAAAATGTACAGCCAACAAAAGAGGATGCAAAGCAACTCCTGAAACGGTGAACAAGGCAAGCTATGATTTCCTTTGAGGAAAAGGAATTAAGATGCCTTCTTCCCCATCCCCAGTGGATTGAAATGTCCAAAGATTAGGAAAAGAAGAAAGAAGAGGAAGCAGGATTGGATGAACATTATAAGAGACCAAAATTTTCCATTGCGACTTGGCTGAGATTTGTTGGAACAGTTTTTAAAAGGCTTTATAGAAACTGGACCTAGAAACTGGAGAAATACTGATTTGGATTATTAGATGATCCTTATAAGAGTCATATTGCACTGTCTGAGTTGATTAAGATTTGAAAGCTGGGCTGGGGGGGGGGAAATGTGTTGGAATTTCAAGCCCTTCTCACGAGAAGCTGGCAGCAGTCCAGGCACCCGGCTTGAATTCCTGTTGGCCTCCCTGGCTGCATTCCCCAGCAGACGCAGGCAAGGTCTCGATCGGCGATTCTTCTCAAAAGTGAGAAGAACACACCCCTCTTTCCTGCCTCCCCCAGGCAGGGGAAAGAGATAGACAGAAACGTATTTACATGCTTTTATTTCTGTCTTTGCAGCATTACAGAAAACGTGACTGCTCTCTCCATACTCTAGCAGTGTTACGACAAAAACTGCCTGTACATCCTGTACAGCTCATATTACACTCTGAGGTAATTCCGGTACTGCACACTGTGAAATGACTGCCCCTCTGTTCCCACAGCAGTCCCAACATTCCAGTCATGTTTACACTTCAAGCTAGGACTTTGCAGCTGCATTGCTTCATTATCGTAACAAAATGAAGGGAAAGTGTCATCTTGGTGAAGAGGATAAGAGTTTGGATTTGATACCTCGCCTTTCACTCCCCTTCAGGAGTCTCAATGCGGCTAATATTCACCTTTCCCTTTCTCCCCAACAGACACTCTGTGAGGTGAGTGGGGCTGATAGACTTCAATGCAGTGTGACTAGCCCAAGTTCACCCAGCAGCTGCATGTGGAGGAGCGGAGACGCGAACCCGGTTCTCCAGATTACGAATCTATCGCTCTTAAGCACTACACCACTGTATACGAAATACAGCTGGGTTTATTCTGGATTGAAAATTATGAATAATTGTTGCTACAGATGATTTTCAGACGGAGATGGGAGTTTGCTTTTCGGTGCCTGCCCTGTGGAACACCCTCCCAGTAGATGTCAAAGGAAAAAACAACTACCAGTCTTTAAGAAGACATCTGAAGGCAGCCTTGTTTAGGGAAGCTTTTAATATTTGATGGATTACTGTATTTTAATATTTTGTTGGAAGCTGCCCAGAGTGACTGGGGAAACCCAGCCAGATGGGAAGGGTATCAATAAATGATCATCATCATCTATTTTTTAGTATTTCTGGTATTTTTAATATTTTATATTAAGATTCCTTTATTTTGAATTTGGGAGGACACACATACGAAGAGGACAGTTGGAGGTCCGAGGGACCTGCAAGGAACGCAGGGAAGGATCTCTCTGGGTGGGATATGGGGAGAAGAGGGGGTCACGCAGGGGAGAAGTGGGGGAGCCTGCCTTTCTATGTGTTGACGAATGATATGATATATATGATACAAATGTCATAAACAGTATTTTTAGTTTATATCCCCCCCTTTCACTTTTCTATACAATTGTATTTTGTAAGGGTTGTTTAATATTTTTTCTTTTATTTCTCTTTTTTTGTTTCCCCACTGTATGAATTCTTTGATGGCAAGTGAGATGGGAGCTCCTTCTGAAGCTCTTTCCACATTTCAAGCACTGATAGGGTTTCTCCCCTGTATGAATTTTGCGATGGCAAGTGAGATAGGAGCTATTAGTGAAGCTCTTTCCACATTCCAAGCACTGATAGGGTTTCTCCCCTGTATGAATTCTGCGATGGCAAGTGAGATGGGAGCTATTAGTGAAGCTCTTTCCACATTCCAAGCACTGATAGGGTTTCTCCCCTGTATGAATTTTGTGATGCAAAGTGAGATGGGCCCTCTGAGTGAAGTTCTTTCCACATTCCAAGCACTGATAGGGTTTCTCCCCTGTATGAATTCTGCGATGGGAAGTGAAATTCACCAACTTCCTGAAGCTCTTTCCACATTCCAAGCACTGATATGGTTTCTCCCCTGTATGAATTCTGCGATGGGAAGTGAGATGGGAGCTCTTAGTGTACCTCTTTCCACATTCGAAGCACTGATAGGGTTTCTCTCCTGTATGTATTCTTTGATGGGAAGTGAGACTGTGCCTGTGACTGAAGCTCTTCCCACACTGCAAGCACTGATAGGGTTTTTCTCCTGTATGAATTCTTTGATGGGAAGTGAGACTGTGCCTCTGACTGAAGCTCTTCCCACATTCCAAGCACTGATAGGGTTTCTCTCCTGTATGAACTCTTTGATGGGAAGTGAGTTCACCACTCAAACGAAAGCTCTTTCCACATTCCAAGCACTGATAGGGTTTCTCCCCTGTATGAATTCTTGGATGGGAAGTGAGATTCACCTTCTGACTGAAGCTCTTTCCACATTCCAAGCAGTGATACGGTTTCTGCCCTCTATGAACTCTTTGATGGGAAATGAGAGTGTCCTTCCGCCTGAAACTCTTCCCGCATTCGAAGCACTGATAGGGTTTCTCCCCTGTATGAGTTCTTTGATGCAAAGTGAGTTTGGCCCCCTCCCCAAAGCTCTTCCCGCATTCGAAGCACTGATAGGGTTTTTCTCCTGTATGAGTTCTTTGATGGGAAGTGAGATTGTGCCTGCAAATAAAGCTCTTCCCACATTCCAGGCAATGATAGGGTTTCTCCCCTGTATGAATTCTTCGATGGGAAGAGAGATGTGCACTTTGACTAAAGCTCTTTCCACATTCCAAGCACTGATAGGGTTTCTCCCCAGTATGAATTCTGTGATGCAAAGTGAGCTTGGCCCTTTGACTGAAGTTCTTTCCACATTCCAAGCACTGAAAGGGTTTCTCCCCTGTATGAATTCTTCTATGCAAAGCAAGATCACCTTTCTGACGAAAGCTCTTCCCACATTCCAAGCACTGATAGGGTTTCTCCCCGGTATGAATTCTTTGATGGGAAGTGAGATGTGCGCTTTGATTAAAGCTCTTCCCACATTCCAAGCACTGATAGGGTTTCTCTCCTGTATGAGTTCTTTGATGCAAAGTGAGCTTGGCCCCCTCCCTGAAGCTCTTCCCGCATTCGACGCACTGATAGGGTTTCTCCCCTGTATGAGTTCTTTGATGCAAAGTGAGCCTAGCCTCCTCCCTGAAGCTCTTCCCACATTCGACGCACTGATATGGTTTCTCCCCTGTATGAGTTCTTTGATGCAAAGTGAGAGTAGTACTGTGCCTGAATCTCTTCCCACATTCCAAGCACTGACAGGGTTTCTCTCCGGTATGAATTTTTTTATGGTAAGTGAGACTGTGCCTCTGACTGAAGCTCTTCCCACATTCCAAGCACTGATAGGGTTTCTCCCCGGTATGAATTCTTTGATGGGAAGTGAGATGTGAGCTTTGACTAAAGCTCTTCCCACATTCCAAGCACTGATAGGGTTTCTCCCCGGTATGAATTCTTTGATGGGAAGTGAGATGTGCGCTTTGATTAAAGCTCTTCCCACATTCCAAGCACTGATAGGGTTTCTCCTTACTCTGTGCTCTTTCATGTGAAGTAAGGCCATCCCTCTGAACGAAGCTCTTTCTTTGACGGGAGGTGGACTGGGAGCTCTGACGGATGTTCTCTCCACACTCTGAATATTTATATGACTTCTCCACTATGTGGATTCTGTTGTGCTCCCCCTTGTTCTTCTCTTCCAGTTCATCACCATCTGCAATGAAGAGAGAAGTGAATTAGAGCCTCAAGAAGAAATGGAGCTCCAGATCATTGAACAAAGTTAATGAATGCTTGTGACAGAGGAAGAACTAAAAATAGTTAGATGTGGGGCCTTTCTATAGTTTTCACTGCCTTTGTTGGCTGGTATTTACTGACATATTGCTTGGCTTTTATCTGGAATGGATCTTGTTCTGGCTCAATCCTGGAATCCACTCCATCTCCAAAGTCAGTCATCTCTTTGGTCAATCAAATGCAAACAGAAGCAAAAACAACAAGCCTGACAGACTTTACATCAACTTCCCTAAAAACTCTGAAGCCGGCATTTAAGAAGGCCTGGGTGGTTCAGAGAATCCTGGTCACTGTTTTAAAAGGCATGACTAGACGAAGAACATTCACAGAGGAAACAGTTGATATCCCTCCATTCTGGGTTCACAGTGGGGGATGTTAGAATCCCAGATGCTGTTGGTCTCCAGCCAAACAGTTGAAGTTCATCACATACAGGTATGTATGGAACATCCACACCTTGTCTGTGAAACAAACAGCAACATGTTCACCTGAACACTCCCCGTCAGCTGTTGCCTCAATCTGGTTGGTCTAAATTTAAATTTATACGTAAATCGCTTTCTTCTCTTTGAACCCCCCTCCCATGTCCATGAGACGACCAACTCTATTGTTTCATTAACAACAGAAGAGGAAAAGTGACTATAACTCAGTTCAAACCAATTCATGAACCCAGAACTAATACACCGACCACTAATGATGAACCATATGTTAAAGATAATCCTGCAAAATGATTCTGCTATTTTTGATATGCAAATGGCATGCGAAGACTTAGTTTACATATTTGTATCATTTATTAGTGTGAGAAGAACCTGAGCTTACAGGGTTAAACAGCTCAGAGTGTACGCCCTGCCTACAAGTTAGAAGGGGGGAGATCCTGCGTCATTTCCAAGAGTCTCCAGCCTTTGTTCTTTTTCTCTACTTTCACTTTTGAGGAGAGTGGACGTGTTTTCACGATGCTGTTCGACAATGGATAGTCTGCTGTAAATAAAAACTGCTTCTAGCTGCTAAGATCCTGAGTGGACTTTATTTAAGCACACTGAAGGAAAGCGTTTGAGTTTGCAGCTTTCTCTGGCCGCTGCTTATGTCTGCGTGTTGCTCAGAGCCTTTGGAATGTGGCCTTTGAAGTCCGGAGGCCTGGCCGGTAGCTGCGCAGCCAAAGCAGGCTGGACGCCAGGCTTTATCTGAGCAATAAATATTCTTCAATTAGTCCTATGTAAAAGCAAATAAAAAGTTATTCCAAAAGGAAAAAGACAAGGGACTTCCGGGTTGGCGCCATCGCCGAATGGCAGACTCCCTCCGAGCTCCGGAGGGAGTCTGCTCGGCAGGGGCTGGGTCCTACCGCGCCGGCGACGCGGGGACCCTTAAAAACCACGGGCACGGAGACCGTGGACATGGGTGACTCGGCTGGCACCGTTAGCGCCCTCCCGACTCGTGGAGCCTTTTTAAAGGCTACGGATCGGGTGCCGGGGAGTGGCGTGGTGCTGTGAGTCCTCTGCTTTCCCTGCCGAGCGAAGCCGCATGCCATCCGGCGGAGAGCGCTGACTTCTTCCATTGAAAATTCGGACTTTTAACAACAACCCGGAGTAATTCGGAAACCGGGTTAAAAGGAGAAAAAAAAAGGAATTTGGCACGAGCGGGGGGGATCCAAAAAGGAAGTCAGTCCCCCGCCCTACTGTAAGCATTTTAAAACAAGGACTGGGTAATCAAGGTCTAGAGAGAAGCGTATTTCTGACAAAAATGAAGAATTCCACGATGGGAAATTACAAGAACTGTGCTGGAGGAGAAGAGTGGAGTGAGAAGGAAAACGTAACCCCCCCTGTGAACCGGGGCGATTTGTGAGAGAGCCTGGTGAAAAGAGACGGAGACTTTGACAGCTGTCGAAGTAGCTGTCAAAGTCGGAAAATTTAAAGAGGACTCTGCTATGAGGACTTTGCTAGTTAATTTCGTTTCAATTTGTTACGATTTGGATACAAAATGTCGAAAATAAGGAACAACAATCGGACTTTTGGGTCAGAGGAAACAAAGTTTCCTCTGTATTAGTATTTTGTCTACAGGGGTGTTTACATTAAAGGAGACAATAGAATTTTCTATTGAAGAAAGGAAGGGACTGGACGTAAGTTTTTGTTCCTGACCAACAACAACCCCTGTAGAGGTACCAAATTTCCGAATTAGAACGTTTTAGCAGCGGAACAGGACAAGAAACCTGACTACGACATGGAAAGAACAATGGGGGGAGCCTTAAAGACCAAGGAAGCTAAAGGCCCTTTGGGGCCGTTTTTGGATTGGACGTTTGAAGTTAAACACCATAAAAATAGATAAACTTAAAAAAAAAAACTGGCAAGGTGGAACTGGGGGAAAATCTGATTATGGATCTAAGATTTCCAGACAGATTGATGGACATGGGGAATTCAAACCGGGGAAGGGGGGGAGATTTAGAATCCAAAGGCTGTGTAACTATTTTGTGAATTTTTTTTTATACCTTTTATCTTTTATATCTTTATATAGCTTTTTATACTTTGTTGGGGTGTCTTTATTAAAAAAAAAAGGGGGGGGGAATTCGTGGAAGGAAACTGGGGTGGACCTTGAGGAGAGAATCTTTGACTTTTATTTTTTTTTTTAAGGTAATGATGATGATTGTATGATTTAAATTTGAATATTGGGTTAAACAAATTAAGTTTTAAATTGGAAGTGAGAGCTTGTAGAACCAACGTTATGAAAGGGGAATACGGTAGGGAGGGGGAGGGGGGAGTCCCAGAAAGTGGGTAATGAAAGTAAGGTTTCAAATGTATTTTATTTCTGTTTTATTTTTACTTTTTGTATTTTGGAAATTTCAATAAATATGATTTAAAAAAAAAAAGGAAAAAGACAACACACAGAGGCCCCATTTGCATTCAAACTGCAAAGCGGTGGCCGGGGAGCTGTGACCTATTCCTAGCTCAAATTGCCTGCAGATGACCAAGGAGCAGGCAGGCAGGTGGGGGAGCCCAAAAGGTGCTCCCCTTCTCCATCTCCATCTGCCTGCCTGCCTGCCTCCCCCCACCCCCTAGCTGAGCAAGCCCCTATACCTCTCTGGCTCCATCCATCCAGGTCCCCATCTCCACTCTCCTGGAACTCACCAGATCTCTCGGAGGTCCCTGGGAGGGAACACTCAGAAGTTGTGGGGAGCGATGCAGGAGACAACCTGACCAGGTCAACCGTCCATCTTCCCCCTTCCATCCTCACTAGCTTTGAAGGATCTGTGTCTTTCATCCTTCCTGAGGAGTCAAGGAGCCAAAAGAAGCTGCAGGGTCCTGGGAGAGAGGAAGAAGCAAAGGCAGCCTCAGAGGCCCTGCAGGGATTTTCTGGCTGGAGGGGAAGCCTCCCAATATGTTGGGGGCCCCACCCACAGCAAAATCCCTGCTTTATCTCATTTCTGGCCAGAGAACATTCCCTCTTCACCCTCCATCCATCCATGTCCCCATCTCCACTCTCCTGGAACTCACCAGATTTCTCGGAGGTCCCTGGGAGGGAACGCTCAGAAGTTGTGGGGAGCGATGCAGGAGACAACCTGACCAGGTCAACCGTCCATATTTTCCTGTGACGTTAACATATAATAATAATAGTAATAAATTTTTATTTATACCCCCCTCCCCAGCCAAGACCGGGCTCAGGGAGGCTAACAACCAATAATAAAAAGTTGATTAAAATACAATTTAAAAGATTCAGATACAACATTAAAACATTAGGATGAAGTCTCTTCATAGGAGGAGAAAGGAAACAGAAAGAGGGGGAGGGAATCAAACTGATTCTAAGCCAAAGGCCAGGCGGATCAACTCTGTCTTACAGGCCCTGCGGAAAGGAATCAGATCCCGCAGGGCCCTGGTCTCATGAGACAGAGCGTGCCACCAGGTCGGAGCCAGTGTTGAAAAGGCCCTGGCTCTGGTTGAAGCTAATCTAACTTCCTTAGGGCCCGGGACCACTAGGGTGTTGCTATTTATGGACCTTGAGGCTCTCCGTGGGGCATACCGGGAGAGGCGGTCCCGTAGGTACGAGGGTCCTAGGCCGTGAAGGGCTTTAAAGGTCAAAAGCAGCACCTTAAATCTGACCCTGTACTCCACCGGGAGTCAGTGCAGCTTGAAAAGCACTGGGTGAATATGCTCCCATGGCAGAGACCCCGTGAGGAGCCTCACTGCAGCATTCCGCACCCGCTGGAGTTTCTGGGACAGCTTCAAAGGCAGAGCCGCGTAGAGCGAATTACAGTAGTCAAGCCTGGAGGTGACCATCGCATGGATCACTGTGGCCAGGTCGGGGCAGGAAAGGTAAGGGACCAACTGCTTGATGCGGCGAAGGTGGAAAAATGTCGCCTTGGCTGTTGCTGTAACTTGCGCCTCCATGGAAAGGGAGGCGTCAAGGATTACACCCTAGTAGATTCAGAGCTGATGAAGCGGCTGGGCCAAAGCTGAAAGGTAAGCTGGATGTGGTCAAAAATGAGATGGCAAGAATAAATATTGACATCCTGGGCATCAGTGAACTAAATTGGACAAGGATGGGCAAAATCAGTTCAGATGACCATCATAACTACTACTGTGGGCAAGAATCCCGTAAAAGAAATGGAGTGGCCCTCATAGTCAAGAAAAGAGTGGCAAAAGCTGTACTGGGATGCAATCTCAAAAATGATAGAATGATCTTGATATGAATCCAAGGCAGACCTACAAGAAGTTGAATACAGATTTCCAAAGAATGGCAAGGAGAGACAAGAAGGCCTTCTTAAACGAGCAATGAAAAGAAATAGAGGAAAACAATAGAATGGGAAAAACCAGAGATCTGTTCAATAAAATTGGAGATATGAAAGATCGTACAAAGATTACCATAATAAAGGACAAAAGTGGAAAGGACCTAACAGAAGCAGAAGACATCAAGAAGAGGTGGCAAGAATACACAGAGGAATTATACCAGAAAGATACGGATGTCTCATACACCCCAGGTAGTGTGGTTGCTGACCTTGAGCCAGACATCCTGGAGAATTAAGTCAAATGGGCCTTAGAAAGCACTGCAAATAACAAGGCCAGTGGAAGTGATGGTATTCCAGCTGAACTATTTAAACTTTTAAAAGATGATGCTGTTAAGGTGCTACACTCAATATGCCAGCAAGTTTGGAAAACTCAGCAGTGGCCAGAGGATTGGAGAAAATCAGTCTACATCCCAATCCCAAAGAAGTGCAGTGCCAAAGAATGCTCCAACTACCGCACAATTGCGCTCATTTCGCACGCTAGCAAGGTTATGCTTAAAATTCTACAAGGCAGGCTTGAGCAGTATGTGGACTGAAAACTCCCAGAAGTGCAAGTCGGATTTTGAAGGGGCAGAGGAACCAGAGACCAAATTGCAAACATGCACTGGATTATGGAGAAAGCTAGAGAGTTCCAGAAAAACATCTACTTCTGCTTCATTGACTTCGCAAAAGCATTTGATTATGTCGACCACAACAAACTATGGCAAGTTCTTAAAGAAATGGGAGTGCCTGATCACCTCATCTGTCTCCTGAGAAATCTCTACGTGGGACAAGAAGCTACAGTTAGAACTGGATATGGAACAACTGATTGGTTCAAAATTGGGAAAGGAGTACGGCAAGGCTGTATATTGTCTCCCTGCTTATTTAACTTATATGCAGAATTCATCATGCGAAAGGCTGGGCTGGATGAATCCCAAGCCGGAATTAAGATTGCCGTAAGAAATATCACAACCTTGATGGCAGAAAGTGAGGAGGAATTAAAGAACCTTTTAATGAGGGTGAAAGATGGTGAAAATATGGTCTGAAGCTCAACATCAAAAAACGAAGATCATGGCCACTGGGCCCATCACCTCCTGGCAAATAGAAGGGGAAGAAATGGAGGCAGTGAGACAATTTACTTTCTTGGGCTCCCTGATCACTGCAGATGGTGACAGCAGTCACGAAATTAAAAGACGCCTGCTTCTTGGGAGAAAAGCAATGACAAACCTAGACAGCATCTTAAAAAGCAGACATCACCTTGCCAACAAAGGTCCGTATAGTTAAAGCTATGGTTTTCCCAGTAGTGATGTATGGAAGTGAGAGCTGGACCATAAAGAAGGCTGATCGCCGAAGAATTGATGCTTTTGAATTCTGGTGCTGGAGGAGACTCTTGAGAGTGCCATGGACTGCAAGAAGATCAAACCTCTCCATTCTTAAGGAAATCAGCCCTGAGTGCTCACTGGAAGGACAGCTCCTGAAGCTGAGGCTCCAATACTTTGGCCACCTCAGGAGAAGAGAAGACTCCCTGGAGAAGACCCTGATGTTGGGAAAGATGGAGGGCACAAGGAGAAGGGGCGACAGAGGACGAGATGGTGGGACAGTGTTCTCGAAGCTACCAGCATGAATCTGACCAAACTGAGGGGGGAAATAAACACCACCTAACAGGGTGGGTCCAGTATCACCAAATAAATGAGGTCTTCAAAGCTGACAAGAAAAAGGGTTCTGCAATTTCAGTATTGGATAAAGAATTATTACAAAGCAAAACAAAACAAAAGTAGTTTCTAAAATGTATGGAACCTTATTGGAGTGGGAGGATGTGAATGAACAGGTAAAGGCAGTAATGATCAAATGGGATATGGATTTAGGTAAACCTATTCAATTAACATCATGGGGGAAATTATGGAAGGAGAGTTGGAATTTTACGGCTTGTGAGGAAATAAAAGAAAATTTGATAAAGATGTTTTACAGATGGTATTTAACACCAACCAAGATATGTAAAATGTATAAAAGAAAATCAAAATTATGTTGGAGGTGTAACCAAGTAGAGGGGACACTTCTGCATATGTGGTGTCTATGTGATAAAATCAAGGGCTTCTGGGATACGGTGTATGAAGAACTAAAGAAAACATTTGAACAAAATTTTGCCCCCAAAACAGAAGCTTTTTATTGGGAATATTGGATGCAGATATACCAAAAGAACATAAGGAAGTATTTCTTTACGCCACAGTGGCAGTGAGAACATTAATTGCCAATTAATTGCCAAAAATTGGGGAAAAAGAAATAATTCCAACAAAAAAAAAGCTCTTTTTGGAGGAGGGTCCCTGCACTCAGGGAGAGACCATAAATTTTGTAACTACTCCAGGTCAACGCTATCTTTCCCCTTAATTCTTCATGAAGTTTCCTAAAACCAGTTATACCATATGCCTTATACCATTTTCTAAAATTCTATGATTATCCCTGCTGTGTTTTATTTAATGGAAATTGAGACTGGTTTCCTAGGTGAAGCTTTTTCCACATTCTAAACAGTCCCCTGCAGGAAATATTTCATGGAAAATTAGATTCACCAACTGAATGAAGCTCTTTCTACATTCCAAGCACTGATATGGTTTCTGACCTGTATGAAGCTTTTTCCAAACACCCCCCTGTATGAAGTATCTCATGGGAATTGTGGGTGGAGCTGCGAAGGAAGCTTTCCACATTTCAAGCACTAATTTCTTCCCCCCGTTAGTTCTTTCTTGTGAAGTGAGGCTCTCCTTCTGAATGAAGAGCTTTCCTTGATCGGAAGTGTACTGGGACCTCTAACTAAAGTTCTCTCCACACTCTGAATATTTCTATGGGTTCTCCATTGTGTGGATTATCTTGTTGTCTCCTTTCTTCTTCCTTTCCAATTCACCACCTACAATCTGCTGTTTTATGGCAGTATTATCATTAATAATAATAATCCTAGCCTGAGGAAGAAATTGAGCCTGAAATGACTGAACAATGAAAATAAATACTTGTGACAGAGGAAGAAGGGAAGGGAGTTACTGCCTTTTTTGGCTGCTATTAGCGAACTTATTTATGGGAACCGGAGATTCAAAAAGCCTGGCTCTTTCCAGGGACGGATTTAATTTGGCTCAGTCATGGAATCCGCTCCAGCTCCAAGCTCAGTCATTTCTTTGCTCAGAGAGCAACAGAGAGATGCAGAAAGGGAAAGAGAAAATTGACAGGATGTACCTCCACGTCCCTAAGATCTCTGAAGCCTACACTGAAGAAGGCCTGGGCAGCTCAGACCAGCCTCATCATGGTTTGAAAAGGCAGGACTGGTGGAAAAATATTCCCAGAAAGAACAGGAAATACATCTCCTATTGAGAGTTTTCCATTCCAGGAGAGTTGTGGGTGTGTTAACATATCAGGTGCTGTAGGTGGCGCTATTGGGCTCCCTCAAAATAGAGGAGGTTTGTCCTTCAGAGATCTGTATGGAATTTCAAAACTGATCTTATGATCCAGCAGGGAGCCTTACCAGAGAGGCCACGATCCCACGATTCTCCTCCTTGACTTCCTTCTGCAGAGCTCTCTGGTCAGGATCCAGGAAAGCCCAGCCCTCCTCTGTGAAAGGAACAGCTACGTCTTCAAAGCACACTGGACCCTAAGAGAAAAAGGGAGCGTGTTCTTTTCTGTAACAATTTTCTTGTGTATTTAAATGATGGGTATTAATCTTTGTGTAAGTGGGGCAATTCCATAAAATAATAATTTTATTATCTATATGGCACTCATTTTCAAGTAAATCTTTGCAAG